CACCCACCTCTGCGCCCTGGTTCCAGCGCCGCGTGGCCGCCGCCACCCTGGCCTTGGCCCTCCTCACGTCCCCCGCAAGCTGGTGCACGTCGTCCATCCCCTCCTGGCCCTCCCCCGCCTCGGCGTCCTCCTTGTCCGGGCCGTCGTCGTAGTAGACCCCCTCGTGCTGCTGCTGCCCCTCCTGCTGCTGGTGCTGGCTTGCCTGCTGCTGCTGATGGTGTTCCTGCTGCTCAACCTGCTGCTGCTGCTGCTGCTGCTGCTGCTTTCCCTGTTCCTGTTCTTGCTGCTGCCCCTGCCCCTGCCCCTGCCCCTGCTCCTGCTGCTGCCCCTGCGCTTGCTGCTGCTGCCCCTGCTGCCTGGCTTCTGCCATCGCGTGCTGCTGCTGCCCACCCTCATCCTGCATCAGCAGCCGCCGCCGCCCCGTCGCCCCGGAAACGGCCCCCGGCAGCGCCGGCGCCCCGTCCAGCCGCATCTGCTGCCCCGGCACCTGCCCCTGCTTCTGCTGCTGCTGCGCCTGCCGTCGCCGGTCCCGGGCGTCCTCTTCCCGGATGCGCCGCCAGGCCGGCACCTCCCTGGGGTCATCGCCGCGCGCCATGGCCTCGCGGTACTTCAGGGCGCGGTTGGGGTTCTCCACGTCAGCGCGGCGGTTCTGGGGGCGAGAGGAGGGCCGTTTGGTTGGGTACAACAGGAGGGGTGAACTAGTGTGTGTGTGTTTGTGTATGTGCGTGTGCGCGCGCGTGTGTGTTCGGCTTGTACAGCGGTTGAATGTAGGGCGTGGCAGGTGATTCAATGGGGGGGCAGACACCCGCACGAGTGCCAGGGCCCGGGGTGCAACAGCAGGCTTCGCCTGAAATGCTCATCAGAAGCCAAATCTAACATTGTTCATGTGTTGGCGTGCGCACAGGAAGCGTCGGTCACACACGCCCGCGGCGGCGCGGCGGCCGCGCACCTCTCCCCCGCCCTGGTACGCGTGGCCGTCCAGCGGCAGGCCCAGCGAGGCGGCGCATGACTCCACGCTGGGGAACAGCTGGTCTGTGGTGCCCACGTGGCTGAAGGTGCGCAGCCGCTGCAGCGCGAACGCCTTGAGCTCCTGCAGGGCCGGGGGGAGTGGGGGTGGGGGGTGAGGGCGTCAGTTGACTGGTGTGTCAGAGGGGGGGAAGGAGGACGGATCTGGTTGGGGAGGTGGGCGCTGCTTGCGGATCAAGGGGTGGATGCAGGAGGCAGGGAGGCGTGCGGTTCTCATTGTATCGCGCAGTGGGACCGGTCGCCGCGGCTGCGCCCGGGAGCGGCCCGGCGCAGCACAGGCAGCAGCATGGCCGCGGGGCTGGCAACGGCGCAGTGGGCGCCGGGCCCGTTGGAGACATGGTGTGGGGAAAGGCAGGCTTATCGCAGCGCAGCGCTCACGTCCGCGACGGCTGGGTTGCTGCGCGCGCAGTGGCGCAGCTGCTCGGCCTTTGGCCAGTGGGAGTAGTTGGTGAGGCCGAGGACCTGTTGAGTGATGGGGGCATGGGGAAAGGGGGATCGGATGGTGTTGGGGTCGGGAGGGCGACAAGGGCGCAGCAAGGCCATGGCTGGGGCGGTCAAGCAGGTGCCGGGCTGGGAAGAGATGTGCGAGCCCAGCCAGCGTTTGCACGTAATCCCCAGGTGCCACAGCGGCATGATTTGCACGCACGCTTGCACACACACACACACACACACACACACACACACGCGCGCGCGCGCGCGCGCGGAGGCATCCAAACACACACAGACACACACACACACACACACACACACACACACACACACACGCGCGCGCGCGTGGAGGCATCCAAACACACAGTACATGCGACACACAGGATCTCACCTGGAAGGCCTCCCCGTTGTGCAGCAGCTCCTTGGCTATCGGGTGGTGCACAAACTCAGCCAGGGGCATGACGAGGTCGTTGTCGTAGGGGTTGAGGGGCGGCAGCAGGCGAGGCTTCTCAGCTTCCGTCAGCTCCCACCTTGGGTAGGGGGGCCCAAGATTGTTGAGGGTTTGTCAGGTCGAAGGGGTAGGATACGGGGTCGCAGGGACTCGAGGGGCTGACGCCGTAGCCCCTCCAGCCACAGCTGGCAGCCTGGCATGCATCGCCTCAGACGAGCCGTAACATGCACATGCGCACGCACTCACACCCACACATGAGCACACACTCACACACACACATGCACACCCACCCCTCAAAACGTGCATATAATCAAGCACCAATGCGCCCGAGACACCCGGGCACTGCCCATGCCCACGTCACCCCCTCACCGCGACACGTTCCTCATCTTGTTGTAGTAGTAGGGCCGCCCCTCCTTGGTGCTGTACTCCACCCAGTGGCCCGCAGGGTCTCGCGGCCTCGACGACAGCACGTCCAGCTGGAAGGCGGGGGGCCGGGGCAGGGACGGCGCGATGCGGGGCAGAGGCGTTAGGCGCTGCGCCGCAGATCTCATTGGGAGGGCCGCCGGTGCGCGCACGACGCGCCCACGCCGTTGGAAGACGCCGCGCGTGCCCTCCCTAGGCACGGGGCCCATCTTTCTGAGGTCCCCTCACCGCTCGGCCCCAGCCCGGCAGGAAGCAAGGCTGCGGCCCCAATGGCTTCGCGTGAACATCCGCTGCTTCACTCCCCCCGCCTGCCCATCAGCCCCACAAACCCTAATGCACGCCTGAGCCCCCTTTCACATGGTGACATGGACAGCCTCCTCAATCCCAACAGTCAGCCCAGGCCTGAAGCCCCAGGCCTGAGGCCTGCGTCCAGGGACGGCAGCCGCGACCCAGGCGACAGCCAGGCCGCGGGGCCACCCACCCTGGCCCTCATGTCTTGCAGGAAGAAGGGCACCAGGTGGGACCACGGCCAGACCTCATCCGTCAGGGTGCGGCCCGGCTTGGGGGGCTTCTTCCGCGTCTTGTTGACCTGCCGCGCCGCCACCTGCACGCGCGACCACGTTTTGGGCGGGCGGAGTTGGGGAGGTGGAGCGGAGCCAAGAACAGGGGCGGCGGGGCAGCGACGAAGACAGGGTGGGCCGTGCGCCGTGCAACCTGGGTTCGGCGCCGCCTCAGATGCCTGCTTGCCTGTTGGGTGCGTCAGGCGCCGCCGCGACCGCTCGAGCCGCTGCCTCCCTGCCGCATGCATGCTGGACCGCCTCCCGCAGAGCAGAAGGCAGTTTCTCGCAATGCACCATTCAGCCCTTCATGCGCGCCGCACCACCGCTGCGACGCTGCCACTTACGTCCCCCGTCCCTGGCCCTCGCCCCCGCAGCCCCTGTTGCGCACGCGCCCCTTGCGCCCGCCGCAGCCCCTGTCGCGCGTATGGGCAGACATGCAAAACCCCGAGTTTTCGGCCCGGCGGCCCTTGCCGGGGCCGCACCTCGATCGCGAATTCGTACGCACTGAGGAACCGGTCGAGCGGCTCCCGCAGCTGCGTCACGACGGCTGTGCCCGGCGGCAGCTGCTGCACCACAGAGAAGTCGTCATGGGAGGACAGCAGCCGGCAGGCCGGCACGTGCACGTCAATTCTCAGGTGGTCGTAGGACTTTGGGCAGCGCTGGCTGGGGGGCGTGCCCTGCTTCAGCAGGCACGAGTGGAACGTGCGGCCCGCGGTCCTGCGGGGGCGACGGGGCACGGGCGTGCGCGCGTGGGCGCAGTTTGGCGCGCGGGGCCGGCGCGGGCGAAGCCGCGGCGGCGGCGGATGGGGGTGGGAGCGGCGAGAGGGCCGCGCGGGCGCCGCGGCTGCGACAGGGGCGGGAGCGCGTGCGCCTGCAGCGGGTGGCCCCATGTGGTTGGGTGGCAGTTGTGCTCACGCACCTAGGCACATGCAGGAAGTACACCATGTTGTCGCCGCCATAGGGCACCGCCTCTTTCTCGTTGAACGTGTGAAACTCCTTCAGCACCGCCTGGCAGGTGGACGCCTCGTCCGCGCCGGCGAGCAGCGGCAGCAGCGCAGCAGCGGCGAGCAGCAGGAGCGGCACAGCGCTCTGCGAGAGCACCGTAGCCATAGCGGCTGGCCGCTGGTGGCATCGCATCCTGGAACGCCCGGGTCTATCCTTCCACCCACACCGACTGCCTAGGGTCTGCTAACCAGCGGATCAGTAAGTAGTTGGGAGTTTTTTCATGGGCCGCGGGGTGGAGCTGGTGTTGTGGCGTCGTGCGTGTGCGTACCAAACCGCAAAGTACAACGAGTCGTGCTGGTATGATTAAACGAGGCAAAGACGATCTGGTGTCACACTCGGGCAGTCCAAGCTCACTGTGTGTGTTGAAGCCTACCGTATTCCACCCCTGCGATATGATGCTTATTATACTCAGGACCAGTAGCAAGGTGTTCAAGAGTAGGATATGCCATTGTGATTGAAGGCCCCTCCACTGCACCACCCCAAATGCAGCGTGACTCCAAGCACGCCCTCCCAGGCCGCCGTGGGGGTGCCTCCCTCGCCTGCCCACCCTCCCCCATGACGCCGCAGGCCACTCGCTCAGCCGCGCCGCTTAAGGGAGAGCCATGCAAAGAACCCAAGACAAAAACAGTTGCGTCGATACACCAGTCACAACAGCAATCTTACCCCACAAATCGGCAACAGGATTGTTGTGCGCTATCAAGCATGTGCATGTGCATGCAGGTGATCATCTTCGGAAGGAGACGTGCACAAAGCACTATAAAGCTGAGTTACAGCCTTACAGCCTTGCGATGGGAATAGTGGGCTGAGAGCTGGCCACGATTTTGAAACAGCCATGCAAGGTTGCGAGCTGCCATACTACATTTCTACCTCTGTCCAAGCTTGTCAATTCAATTATGAGTGTACGTAATTTGTTTGGCATGATTTACACGGTGTAGTTGCACCACAGCTGCCTAAGCATATCTTGCTGTGTGAAGCCCGATTAATCAAAACACAGGCATCCTCATACAATTGGTTCTTCATGCACGACAGTGTTGAGTTCTATTCGCATGTGTACCATTCGGGAGGCACACAAGATGCAGCTCAAGCTCTACTGTAAGGCCCGATTAGCGTACAATCAACCCAGCAGGCGGCCGGTCAGGCCGCCAACAAGGCCGGTGGCAGTGCCGGCAGTGCCAACGGGGTTGCGCACGGTGCCGGTGACCGTGTTCAGGACGGGGGTGGCGACAGGGCCGACCACAGGCAGGCCACCCACGAGGCCGGCAGCGGTGCCGGCGACGCCGCTGGCGGTGCCAGTGGGGTTGCCCGCGACGCCCGCGACGGTGTTGAGGGCGGTGGTGGCGGCGGGGCCGGCGACGGGACCGACAACGGGCAGGCTACCGGCAACGCCGGTGACGGTGCCGGCGGCGGTGCTGGCGACGCTGCCAACGGTGCCGACGACGCTGCCAACGGTGCCAGTGGGGTTGCCCGCGGCGCCCGTGACGGTGTTAAGGGCGGTGGTGGCGGCGGGGCCGGCGACGGGACCGACGACGGGCAGGCTGCCGGCAACGCCGGTGATGGTGCCGACGGCGGTGCCGGCAACGCTGCCAACGGTGCCAGTGGGGTTGCCCGCGGCGCCCGTGACGGTGTTGACGGCGGTGTTCGCGGCGGAGCCAACAACGGGCAGGCTGCGAACAACACCCGTGGCGGTGTTGACAACGCCGCCCGCGGTGCTCACAAGACCACCCGCAGTGCCAGCGGCGGTGCCGACAACGGGCAAGCCGCCGGCAGTGCCAAGCAGACCGGTGACGGCGCCCAGCTGCTTGAGATCACGGGCTGCAAGGGCGGGCGTGGCCAGGAGGAACGCAGCAAGGAAGGCCACAGCGAGCATGCGAGCCATTGTGAAGGTGGGGCTGGGCGAGCCTGCGCGCATCATGGAGAGGAAGGGGGGTGGTGGGCTGGTACAGCTGGCCAGGATGGGGCCAGGGGCAAGGACGCGCCTGGTTGGTCACATCAGACCCAGCTACGAAATCCAGAAGCGTGCAATCGCTTTGGCCGCCGTGTGACACACACAAATGAGCGTGCTCACCTGCGGATGAAATTCGACGTTTGAGTTCGGTAGACGTTGCGAGAGCTGTGGAGCGAACTGACAAATAGGTTGTTGCTCGGATCAACAAGCCTTTTATGCGGCGGCTGACACCCGCCAAACTTCTCGCACAGCAGATTCTGATCGAGTTTCGTTGACACCTAGACCGGGTTGCTGTCATGCAAAGTGTGCGCCCGACCAGCACGGCCTGAAATCGAAGCGTTCAAGAAAGTGGTATATCATGATGTTTGAGTCCCAATGGCTGCAGGCGGCACACGGCAAGCAAAGCCCAGGTCACGGCGCACGTGACTTAGGGAGTAATCATGCCTCAAATGTCATTACTCCCTTGTCCTAAGGCCGCTGGAGGTTCAATCCGCTATATGGGTGACATCATAGTAAACTGATAGCCCTTTCATACAACTGAAGCACCGTGAGACAAGGCGCAGCGTGGTGCATGTCTACCACAACAAGCTTACGAGCCAGGGCGGGAACTGTGGCGCCTACTTCACGCCGCATCACTGTGTGTTGCAGGAGCCCAATTATGGGGTAACCTGCTGCACGTGAAGCGTAGAAAAACAGCTTAACTCAATCTGTAGGCGAATTGTGCTAGGCTTTTGCAGGTGTCGCGTGGGCCTTTGTTTGTACCATCGCAACTGATTACAAAGCGTCCAGCGGTGTTGTGACACATTAGGACAGACACTCTCTGATGTGTTGACCCCTTGTGAGCTGATGCAGGCTCTGCCTCAACAACTATACCCACATTTGGTTCGCAGGTCCCTGTGCAGGCGGTGTCTTGTAGGCATGCATGGGTATTTGTAGGACAGGAGCGGCCGTCGTGCACTGTACAGACCTTGTTGGGCAACCAATCTAGCATGCAGCTGTGTCAGACATGCTTGGTCAGGCCCAGCGTCCAGCCACGCCCACAGCAATGGGTGCATCCACACGTGATGAGGCCGCGGGCTCAGGCAGCAACAACAGCAGCACCAGCAGCAGTGGCAGCAGCGTGTCTGCGGTCACAATTTCTCCCCACCGGAGTTAATCCCTTGATGCATAGATTTGAGCAGCCACTTTGCCGCGAACACAGTACTTTGGGTGCAACTGAGGCACCCCAATCGACAACGCACCCTGTACAGAGTAAGTTGTGTTCTGACTTAGGCTCCCATCATTGCCAAACTACTTTTGTTATCCATGCCAGGCAGGTGCTTTTGCTGCCAGTCAATCACAGCAATGGGAACACCAGGCAAGTTGAGGCAACCCACGCACGCATGAGCAATTTTCTGCAACACACACACACACACACACACACACACACACACACACACACACACACACACACACACACACACACACACACACACACACACACACACACACACA